GTATTCCCTACTTGGTGAGGATATAGAAAAGTGAGGACATAGAAAAGCCTTTCCCATGTTTGGGGCAGCAGAGGGGTGGGCTTAGGTGCTGTGGCTATGGCATGAGGTAAGGGAGAAATACAGAGATGAGGTTCAGTAAGTACTTGCAACAAGAGAATTCCTATGACTAAATGGCATGACTGAAGTGCTTCTTGCAAGGTCTTGCCTAAAATCTTGAAGTTTTGTGTGTCAGTTATTGTACCAGTGATTATACCAGCTGCCTGGTCTAAAAAAAAAAAGTTTGATTCAGATCTCTTCAGCTGTAGAAAAACATAAAGGAGTAGATTTAAACATTCTGAGTTCTGAATGCAGATTTCCATGTTCTTCTCCCCACCTCTCCCTTGTATTTGGAAATAATCAGTTTTGTAGGCTATTGCTTAAAGAATTGTTTCATCATGTGATCTCTCTGGATGCCCACCTTTTAGAGGACTTTTAGACTTTTAGAGGGCCTGCTCACAAAATAGACCTATCAGAGGTCTGAAATATGAAATTTCTACGGGTTTTTGAAACCTTGTAGCTGACTGAAGAAGGACCCACGTGGTGCCCAACCCTGTAAGAGAGGAGTAGCTGGAGGATGTTAGCAGTCATAATTCCTACCTGTGCTGGCATTTGCTTCCAAAAAGAGGGTGAAAGCAGTGGGGAGCTGGTGTGTATGGGTGCAAGAGTGAAGGTCAGGAGGTGGGGCACCCAATCCTGGTTGGTTTCCCAATTTCCCCTGCTCAGGGTGTATCTTGTTTTTCATTCTGTTGGCTTTGCTGCCTTTTTCATGTGTTTGTTTATATCCTCTATCAAGTTTATCATTATGTGCCCGTGCACATAAAATCTTTATTAGCCGTGTGTATTTTCTATTCTCTGTTCTAATTTCCCTTCCTTCTTGCATTGTTAACAAACTCTGCTGATTGCAGATGTTTCCCATTTGACAGCACCTGAGACTCAGGTTTTCCAGGCACACAACAGAGGGAGTGCTGGCTCCTTCCTCCGGCCATCCTGAGGTGTGTGCTAGGGCCATCCCACAGAGGATTGCCCAGGGACTGAACCTGCCCTCCCAGCCAAACCTGGGCTCACAGTCCTCCTTGAGATCAGTAGAACAGAAGAGAACTAGAAATTGGGCTGTGATCTTAGGGGTGATTATGAATGTGTTCTGCTGCTCCAGTCTTTTTGAGTGACTGGCTGAAGGAGAGATTAGGGTCAGTGCAGAACTGAGAAGGTCCCTTGTGCCCTGTGTGCCCCATTTCAGCTGCTGTTAAAAGCCCCTGAATATTGGATAGATGTTGGCCATGTCTGCTTCCCACCAGCTTGGCTTGACTTGGCCCCTACCCTGACAACAGCATCCAATGTATCACCCCACTGGCTCTGAGGGTCACTGCTCTCACCCCCATGAGGAGTGGAGATGGGCTAAAAAGAATTTCAGTGCTGCACTGGTTTGGCCAAGTCAAGCTGCTCTACTGACTGATACCTTCTACAGAAGGGCCCAGCTTGTTCCTGATAGGGCCATTTCTGAAATCATATTGAGCAGTGCAGGACCATGGAATGGTGTGGATGTTGTATCCATGTTGTGGCTGGACATCAGGAGCACCCTTTCCTTTTGGGCAGGGGTCAGAACGTTTCTTCACCAACAGCTCTTGAAATGCTGCCTAATAAATCCTTCCCTAGGGAGTTTTCTAAGAGATTATTCTGCCTTGGACACTGGAGTGAGTAAATTACCACCTTTTGTGATCCTTTAGTCTTAACATTCTTTCCAGAATATCATTTTAAGGGATGCAGATAAAGCATTTGCACTGTTCATGTGGGACGGTGTCCTCTCTCCTTCCTACTCCAGAAAACCCCCTGTGTTTCTTCAGTGTCCTTCTTCAGCAGGGATGAGAGTTCCTTTTCTGGAACTGTTCTTTGAACTTCAGTGGCTACAAAAGTGTAAACCACCCCTCTTTCATGGGGGATAATCTTTAAATTGGGAAACAGGAAACAAAACTTAAGGACATCTTCTGCTGGTTCCCTGTTCTTCACTGGTTCCCAGTTTGTCCTTTTGCTGCTTAGGCTTCCTGCTGCCTGTACCAGTAGACAGAGGACTTTTTGGCCAGTGTCCCAGAATTGTTCCACAAGAAGGGTAGGACCAGGGAAAGTAATAGCTTGGATGCAGAGCCTGCAGACAACAGTTTCAAAATGCTCCATCAGTGGGCCTGGGGCAAAGTCCTTTCTGAACAGGCAGGGATTTGCAGATCAGATCCCAAAGCACATCCCATGGAAGAAAGTGCCACAGCTCTGATAAGCCAAGTGGACAGGAGGGCAGGAGTCTCCCATGGTGAGTGGCACTGACAAGTGACCAAAGCACTCAGATAATGGAAGATCCTGGTGACAAGACCAAGTGGCTTGACCTCAATACAGTGAGGAGGAGGAGGTGACAGGGAAAGGTCTGGTTCATGCCAAAGCAGCCTTTTCATCTGGTAGCTTAGGTCAAGCCTCTAAAGGGGAGAATGATGCCTTAAGTTTGAGCTTTTATATTTTTCAGATTCTGTGCTGCTTTAGTGTGTAACTCTGAGCTTCATATCAAGTGTTAGCAAGTTCTCTTCACAGGGTAGGTACAATCCTTTTCCAGTTTGTCCAAGGACAGCTGTTACAAGCTCCAGGCCCAAAAAGTATAAACAACACTGAACTGAAGAGAGAAAAACAAGGAGGATGGGACTTTATAGCCTAAAGCTGTAATTGGACAATTAACTCCAATATGCAAATGGACCAGAACTTAAAAAAGTGAGAGACCTCATGACCAGTCAGGCATTTTGTGACCATTTTGGTTCATCTTGGGTGTAGCCATGGCTGGGCTCTTGCACTGCCCAAGGTGGATCCATTGAGGTCTTTTAATAAATCCCTACTTTATTCTTTAACTCTGTTCTAGGTCAGCCTTCTCAAAGCATCAGTTCACTGTGTTCTGCCAGGGTGTGCTTTCCTTCTCTAATTGTGTGCAGCTCTTGCTGCTTGGAAAGCTACTCTGAGCATCAGGCAACATCCTGCTTTGTCACAGTGTCATTTTCAGGCTGCACCACCAAGGCTGAGGCAGGAGATGTGTGTGTCATGTCTCATCTGCTCAGCTGCAGAGTCGTTCAGGGGCAGCTTCTGCTTGTGCTGATCCTCTTTGAGCCGTGGATTGGGCTGCAGCCCTGGAAAAGCATCACTTATTCCTTAGCATTGCAGCCACTGGAGTGGTGAGGATGGGTACAAGCCCTGGAGGAGACGTCAGTGAAAGCTTCCACAAATCACAAGATCCAGTTCTACTGCTCCTTATAATTAGTGATTAAAATGAGTAAAAACAAAGCAGCAATTTTCTTATTGATCCCTCAGCAAATAGCTCTGTCTGTTTTCTTCTGTATTGTTTCTTCCTATTAAATAGCCTTGAATAAGAAATGTCAGTCAAATGAATTTAGATTCCTGGTGCTTCAGACAGAAATCAAAGCAGGATTGAAAGAGGAACGATAATTAGAGAGAGGAATTCCACCTCCACACACTTCTTCCCTTGCTCAAGGAGTGCTGATTTTATCTAAATTGCCAAAGCCATGAGCAAATGAGAGGTGATGGGAATTATAGACTGCAGATGCTGAGACAAAGCAAGGGAAGCTTTAATTAGTGCATTTTAAGGTAGAAATAAATTTCCTGGGAATAAATTATTCGACTCAAGACACATGGAGCTTCTTCAGAGGTGAACTGAAGAGCTTCTTACAAGCCACAAACAGGGCTCACAGGTTGTATCTATCTGTTGAAATGAGTGACCCAGCACTGAGGTCTGAAATACATCAGGATGAATCCTTCTTTCTTTGCATCCCACTTTATTTTCTAATATTGAGTAATATTTTTTTAATATTGAGGAATTCCCACAGCTGCAGATTCACATAAAGCAGAATTTTTCCCAATACCCACATTTACTCACTGAAATGTTAGTGATGGATGCTGAGTAACTGGGAGTTACATATCAAACCTACTGGCACTGAAAGGAAGTTATTTTCCTTTCAATTCTCCTCTTTTTCTCCTTCCTTAGCTCTGCTGCCATGCTTTCATGACACTAGCACACACATAAGTCACTGGGAGCCTTAAAACACTGACCTTTCTATGTTTTCAGCAGATTTTCACAGCTTTTTAAAGATTGAGACAGTAACAACTCTGTGCAATTTGGAGGTGGGTAGAGTTTCCTGGCCAAATTGATGGTGCTGAAACAAAACCATTTAGCTGGGTGCTTTAATCCTGAATTCCCTGACTCAGCAGAATTACTCAGTCTCCTAATTATTTTTGTATTTTATGTGAGCCAGTTGCTCACAAACCTTGTTGAAGCAAGCAGGAGAGGGGCCTGGCTGAGATCTCATGGTTGTGTTACAGGAGTGCTCACAGACCCCTGAGGCAGGTGCTGCACAAGCACAGAATAAAATGAGTTTGTCCCTCCAAGAGCAACACTGCTCACCTCTGCTCTGAAAAGTGGGAATGAAAACAGCCCAGGAGGCTGGGGGATGGACAGGCTGTCCCAGCAGCACCCTTCCAACAGCTTGGGGGTGCCTGGCACGGGTGGTCTATGTGAGAGATGGGCATGGCCTGGAAAATCCTGTCCTCCCTTCCTGGAACACACCACCACTCAGGACCTGCCACAAATCCTGCTCTTCTTCTGGCCACACGTGTAAGGTAACACAGATGGGTACAGCAAGGTACAACCTAGAGGCTGCAGCTCAGGTTTTTGGCAAAGGGACCCAAAATCCTCAAAGACCTGGCACTCTGCATGGGAAAACAAGGCTGGCCGGTTTTTCTGATGGGGTGGTTTCCTATTTCAGCTGTTGCTCTTTTGTTCCAGAGGTTAACTTGTATCAGCCATGATGAATGGCTCAGTCAAGGGGTATTGAACGCTGATGTGTTTATCTTGTGCCAAGATGGGAATGTTGCAAACTTGTGAGCTGCGGGAGGCCACGGGCTAATTTGAGATTTGTTCCTAGCCCTCGCCATGCGAATGGTGTCGCTGCGAGCCCAGCAATGAAGTTCACTGTGTTGTAGCAGACTGCGCAGTCCCCGAGTGTGTCAACCCGGTCTATGAGCCAGAGCAGTGTTGTCCTGTCTGCAAAAATGGTAAGAAAGAACCGTGTTGGCTTTAACGGAGATACAAAGGAAACTTTTGATTGAAATGCTGTTACTGAGGTTTGCTTCCTTTGGCATGGGCTGGTCCTTCTCCTGGTGCTTGGGTTGTGGGGTCAACATTTAAGCTGCCCTTCCTGGCCTGTGTCTTCTCCTTGAAGCAGATGGAATGGCTGGCTTGGCAAGGATTTTATGGGATTGAGTCCTGATGTCAGTGATTGTTGTTTCATTTCTTTTTTATTGTCTCAAAATTAGTCTAATGGAGAACCAAATACATGAGAAAAGAGAGGGCCTTTGTCCCTGCATTAACAAACCAATGGTTATTGCCTAAGGCCAAGGGAAGACTCACCAAAATCAGTGGCAGAACTTTTCCTGTGGCCAATAAGACACCCCCCAACCCCAGAAGAACCCCATTATTAGTTGTGTGCTGGAGTCTCTGTGTAGCACTGGCCCTCATTGTCCTGCTGAAGTGATTTCATGAATTAGATTCATCAATACTTTCAAGGAATGTTTTGGAATGACTGAAAGTACCTCTTTGGAAAAGAAATCTGTTTCCAAAAAGGTCTCCCGGGTCTTGTACCACAGCCTGTACTCACATACATCTCTGAAACAGCACCTTTCTCCTAAAGTAGATATGAAGACAGATTAAAAGGTAAGGCAGCTGCACGTAAACCTTTTCACAGCTTTCTAAACATGTAAGAAATGGCTACTTGGATTCATCTCCTTGTGTTTGGAATTCACTATCTGTATATATTTGCTCTTACATACATCACTGCTGCTGGATAAGAGCAATGGTTGCTTTTGTACCTAAATGAAAATGTTGGTAAAGAGATAACATTTTCAACACATTTTCTGCTCTGTAAGACAGAGTAAAGGCAAGGAGTTGGAAATATAAAATACTTTTACTGAAGGAACTTGAAAAATTAAAAAATGTTTGGAAAATTACACCATAAATATTACTTGAAATCCTGAGGTTTGTATGTGTAGTTTTGTTCAAAAATATTTTGTCAGATTTTCATTGAGTTTTGTGTTTCTGTTGGAAAGCAGAAAATGTTTGTAGGAAATCTCATTGGTTTGTTTTTGTTGCTGAAGTGCAGAGGAGAGGTTTGTTACCCAGCTCTGTGCACCACCTTTGTGTACAGCCGTGTTTGGGTGTGAGGTTTCTCATCACACTCACCAACATTGGTGTCCTGGGTTGGTGACTCAGGGGTACCCCTGGCTGTCCCCAGGCCTGTCACCGAGCTCAGACCCACTGACACCCCAACAAACACCTCTGGAGCTTGTGTGGCCTCTGTGTTCCTCTCTCGTGTAGGGCACCATCCCAAATCCCCTCATTTCCAGTGGCAGCACATCCATCCAGTCTGTGTCACATCAGTCCCACCTGTGAGCATCCCTGAGCTTCCCAGGAGTGCAGGCTCAGGGGGGCTTTCACAACTCCAGGGGCTGCTGCATTTCCCCACCACGGCCATTTCCCACGTGGCCCCTTTGGGGGTTGGTGGCTTTCTGTGACGATGGTGACCAGGGGTGAGACACATCTTTCCTCCCAAAACAGCCAGGGGGAAAGGGAAAGAGCAGCTCCTGCTGGTAGGACAAGGACAGGAGGAAGATCAGCTGTGTGCTGAAGGGACTGTGGGACACAGTGAAGGGATTGGAACCCTCACAGGGAAACCAGGAGGCTTCATCCATGGTTTTACTAAATCTCTCCACTCCTTTCTTTGCTCATCTCTTGGCGATACACATAAAGCTCTACACCTGAGAGCTGTTTTAGGCAGGGATGTATTTCCCACCCCCCCCTTCAGGGCAGCCTGGATGCCTTGGGAATCCTGGGCTCTGGGCTTGCAGCACAGCTCAGCCAGGGGAGGGTCGTGGCTGCTCCTTGGGATGGAGGAGCATGTCTGCATGGCAGTGCTGTGGGGGGAGCTGCACCCCTCCTGGTGGCCCAGCCTGGCTGTAGGGATGGAGAGCCCTCAGCTGGAAGGGCTTCCTGCTCCTCCTGCTGCTGCTGGGGCTGACTGGCTTAGAGTTGGCCCAAGCTGGCAGTTTTGGCTGTGTCCTTCACAATGTACTGCAGTGATTCCCACAGTGACAGAAATTGGTAGGCACCAGGGCAGTTCCTGTGTCGTGGGGAATCTGATGATCAGAGTTTGTTACTGCTCCTGGACGTGGCTGAGTGTGGCACACACCATTCACCTTTCTCTTACTGTCTGGGAGATTAAAATGGAAGTAGCAGCCATTTCTGTGTCCCTTCCCATCTGAATCCCTCTGACACATCCTAATGAATGAGGAGCACAGTGTTTTCAGCTCTGTGTTCATCTTGAGACCAAAATTTTGTCTTTCAGCTCTCCACTTCAGCCAGTCAATTAAAGCTCAGTTTCACAAATGCATGAAGATAACACAAGCTGACAGACCCACTTAAATGACTGAAACACCCCCTTTTAAATTTATTTTTTTCCTCCCATCCAGTAGCTTTTGTCTTCTGCCAAAGTGGTGAAGACATAGTGCCATGTTCTGGTGTGATGAAAAGATTTTAGTCCCTGTGGTTGTAATTTCAGACTGACAAACAGAAGAGCTCAAGGGATACAGTTGTTGGGGGCGGGGGGAGTAATCTCTGTGGTGCAAATCCTCAATTCAAAACCTACCCCTTAAAATTTTGGTAAGGAAAATCCTCATTTTAGGTTAACCACAACCCTGGGAGCATGGCTTGCCTGCTTGTTTAGCTGTTGCTGCTATTAATGAGAGAATAATTCTCTTTTCATACAGTCAGGTAGATTTTCATAACCTTATTCATTATGTTCTGCCAAGGGCAGAAGTGCTGTGATTCAGTGAGCACTGGCACAGGTTGCCCACAGAAGCTGTGGCTGCCCCATCCCAGGAAGTGCCCAAGGCCAGGTTGGACGGGAATTGGAGCAAGCTGGGATAGTGGAAGGTGTCCTGCCCATGGCAGGGGGTGGAAGGGGATGATCTTTAAGATGCCTTCCAACCCAAACCAGTCTGGAATTCTGTGATTCTGTGATAATGCAAAAAGCTGTTGATTCTAACATTCCTGGCCTGAAAATTCATAGAAAGCCAATACCAATTTCTCTCCCATCATTTAAGAGCAGTCTAAACAAATGGCTTTGAAGATTTGTTCCTTCTTGGCCAAAGAAATGAAATTGTTATCTTGTGCCTCACTAATCACAGCAGCTCATTCAAGGCTGGCTGTTCCTGGCAAGGGATCCCACATTCCACACCGAGCATGCAGATTCACTGGGAGGCTCCAGTTTGGGGGTGAAGGAGGCAGAGGACGTTTTCTCCTTCATGTCCTATCATCCAATTTGTCAGAGTGGATTTTAAGGGCGATGGCTCCAGGTGCTGTGCAGCATTTCTGTCACAGAGATGAAAGGTCACTGGATTTCACGTTTCCTGGTAGTGACAGACCGCAGAATTATGGCCTCGAGTTGTTCTTTCCAGTCCCTGTGACTCCTCCAGACAAAAGTGTGTCACTGCTGTTAACTCCCTCCTGTGTGGGATCTCCAAGTGGCCTGGCACTGTGAGAGTCCAGCTCGTGGTGCCACCACCTCTGTCCCTCCCGCCCCAGCTTCTGCAGTTCTGTGAGAACATCCCCCCACTCTGCCTGTGCCAGAGCCAAAATTCCCAGCGAGGTCTGCATGGCCAGGGCTGCAGAGGTGCCTGTGTGGTGCTCCTGGGCCCTTCTCTCCTCACCCTGTGCTCTTGATTCCCAGACCTCTGCTTGCCCCTCCCCATAAACCCATCCACTGCTCTGGGGTGAGCCCTGGTATTGGGGTGTGTGTGTTTTAACTCCCTTTCTGTGCATCACTTGGAGGTTGCTCTTCCCATTTCCTTCAACCCTTTGGATGTGGTCTGGGAGCAGGGGATGGGGGGAATCCCCACTGTATCATCCCTCACATCCCCTCATCTGCTTTAATCTGTGATCCAGATTAAATGGGTTCCTCTGCTTTGCCAGCTCCCAGCAACTCTCACCTACTGCAGTGCACAAAAGGAGAAATTCCCTGTGCTTCATTTTCTTGAGGGATGAACAAAACAAATATTATATATTTTTGGGTTGGGGTCTGGTTTTGCCTCTAATTTAAGTTTTGTTGTCACCAATCCTCAACAAAAGAATCTGTTGCCCAACGAGCCAGATAAAAGCTAACATGTCCACAGTGAAATATTTCCTGGCAAGTGTGCTTACTCAGCCTGGGCTTCTGAAGACATTTGTGATGGAATACTGGGCAGCAGGAAGACATTTTGTAGATAATGTGTCACTGAGTCTTTAATTAAAGTTTTAAATTATCACACTTGATACAGATTTCCAAGTAAAGAGGCTGATCCTGCCATCCACACACAAGCAAAAGATCCCTTTGACCTTCAACAGATTTTACATTGGTAAAATAGCATGTCTTCATACAAAGCTCTTGTGGGAATTTATTATAATGTGGTATAAATATTAATAAATCCCTACAAATATCTTCATATTTGAGGGCATGAGCACAAACGTGAGTAAATAACAATTTATTTCCGTGCATATAAACCCACATTTTACCTAAGCTTCTCTCTTAATTTACTGAAATATAAACTCAGTGCTCATTATTTCTCTGTTGGAGTTAATTTGAAATAAGCATTCTGCACCCCAGCCTGATCCTGCTGTAACACAGTGTGTCTTGCTCAGGAACCCCCCCAGGGATTTTCCCAGCCTGTTGAAGCCTCTCCTTTAGCAAACAAATCCGTGTTCCACGTGTCCCTGGGTGAGCTTTGCATGTCTCTGTGTGGAATAACACCTGGGGCCAGACCTTTGATGCTGCCTTTTCTTAGCAAGTGCTATGAAGAAATGCATTTTTTTCTCAGTGGGAGATGTTTGGGAGTGCCCAGGGGGTGTCCCTTTGGAAAAGCTGAGCTGTGGGCACTGGGGCACTTTGTGAATGGGCCAGGCTGTTCCTGTCCTGCCCAGCCAGTTCAGAGGTAGTTCATGAACTTCGTTTCCATTCCCATAGTAA